CACCCGCCCCCACACCACACACACACACAGAACCCTGCAAAGGGACATCCATGTGACAAAGAAGGACTATCAGGCCTCAAGATGGGGAGAGGGGCATTGAAGACGAGTGTGGTGGGCTCCACTGCGGACTGGACTGTGTCCCCTGATGACCAGGCCAGGTGGTGCTTAGTCGGGCAGGGCCAGGGCAGGGGGTACGGGAGAAGTGCCCCGGAGAGGCCCAGCCCTGGCTCCACTGAAACTCACCCTGGGATCTTGGGCAAAGCTCTTCCTATGTCTGGGCCTCGGTTTCCCAAACTGGACATGGACGGGCCTGGGCCAACTGAGTTTAAAGTCACCATGTAACCAACAGTAATGGGCCTCGATGCAAGTCTAACACAGGACCCCCTCCACCCCTAGTTTCCCTGATGGGAAAGGTGAACTTCATCAAGGGAGATACTTTACCAGAGAAGAGAGAGGGAGGCCTCCAGGACTCCAACACAGGGGCCACTAGTGGCCTCTTTGGTGCTCTCTGGCTCTAAAATGTAAATCTCTCAAGTGTGAAAAGAGGAAGGGGAAGCAAAGAGAATAAGAGGGGGCTTTCCAGCCCAGAAGCAGGAGGCAGAGGTTGATTTAAAATCACAAAGAGAAAATCCCAATGACTCTCCCACACAGAGCAAGTCCTCTCCCCAGGAAAGAGCACTGGCCACGCCAGTCTCTTTGCCTGCAGCCTCCAGGTGGGAGGCCTTGCAGGAGCCCTAAGACCTGAGAGGGGGAGGACTGATGCCAGGCCTCCCGGTGAGCAGTTGGGAGAGGCAGGCGCACCCAGGCCTCCTGCCCCACACCTATGCAGCCTCCACTCCTCCATGGCCAAGCATCCTGTCTTGCTTAGGCTCTGCTATCATTCACGCACTTTCTGCCATGAAAATGGCAAGGAGAGATCCTGCAGGGATTGGCAATTTTTCACCACGGGGGCACTGAGGCTTCCCTGTTCCCCAGAGGAGGGAAATGAAGGGTTGATTAAGTACTTAAAACATCCCTGCCTGTGGACCGTTTAATAAGTGCCTCGTCCATCTCTCAGGCATTAGATTAGACATTTGGTTCACTAATCCAATTTGGCCAGCCTCTTCCAGGCTGCTGTCGCCATTTTGTAGGATGTGTTAGGAATCGATGCAAGCTCCCCAGCTCCCACTGCTGCCCAATTAATTACAAATGAGCCCTGGCCCCTCACATGAATGTTCCGACACAGACAGAGCAACCCTCAGCGCTCGGAGAAGCTTTGAGGATCTGGGGATGACCCAGCTGGTCCCTGGATCCTCTAAGTCTAATTCCAGGATCTGAATACATGGGCAGAAAGCAGGTGTGGGGTCTTTAATCCCTGAGCTGTGATCTAT